CAAGGACTGCTGAGGTGTGTGTAGCGGCGTGACGTGCTCTCTAGTAGAGTCAGATTTACTATGGGCCACGTTGCCACGCGCAAGTGTTTGTATCACTCAAGTCTCTTGAATAAGCACTTTCAAGTATACACGCATCTCATAATTCATTAAAATACCACAATCATTAATAAGTATAATCTAGTGGCTTGTTAACCTAATGGTGCAAGCAAAGGAAAGATTTATGTAAAGACCCTAAAAGGTTAGCGTGACAAAAGTACATTGAAGAAATATACAGTTTGTACGTAGTATCTAATTTTAAGCCGAAATGTTCAAACTTATTACGTTTAAAATCAAATTATTGGTAACAAGGACGCATAATAAGTTGACATTCTGTATATTGTAGAAAATAATAATGTATTAACTATTTTTATAAGTAGTTTTCACTTCCTGTTTCTACACAGCTCAAATACGTGTGCTGATAGAGTTCCCATCACTTTGAACATCTACTACAAAACATTTAGACTACTTGTGATTCAAGTTTGTGTTATGTTCGTTCAATTTGCATTGAATTCGTAAAATACTTGCATGAGAGTTGCGTGGGTTGTATAGTTTGTGCACAGACAGTACATCACAGCATTGAACTGTAAAAGCTCATATTCAGTGATCTTGCTCTCACATACGGAGTCTGGTCTTTGCGTAAGCAATGCTTCTTTAAGCTATGCAATGAGATATTTTAGGCTAAGTAAGCTCAACCGTGTGTATCTATGTCACCTCAAACGTTATCAAACAGCACAAGCTTTGTAATTTGGCTTTAAATATAAGCTTTGGACTCATGACCAATGCCACAGTAAGTACAGCTACATTCTCAACATTATGACTCTAAATACTAGTATAAAAGTACATGTTTATTGTATTTAGGCATTCACTGTGATATCAAAGCCTACAAGCATCAAGCTTATTAATTTTTTATTATTATTTATCCAATAAAGTTTGGGTAAAACATCCCTGTGACCTAATATGTAAAATCGTCGTTATGAATGTTAAGTTAAGTCATTATTAACGAAAATTAAAAAAGTTTCTCTTACATGATATTTCTAGGAACATAAATTGTATGCGCTATTTATAGTATTATCGTAAGAACATATCACATAAGAATGGATAAAAAACTTACACCAAAGGCTGCAACGTATTCATCTTAAAGAATCTAGAGCTAGAAGGAGCATGGTGATACTTTACAGCATTATGAGATACACCACGTTTAGGTCGTAGTTATATCTCCAGCTGAAGAGTGATTGGTAAGAACTGATAAACCAAAAGGTCTTGACTCATCGAGTTTCAACCGGAGAGAGAAATACCTACTTATAAAACTTGGTCTGCCTCGTTACGCTATGCTCTTTCCAGTTGTATGCTCTGAGGGATACATAGACGTCCATATGTATACTATCTACATAAAATAAGCTCAGACTTTGTGCTGAGACAGTTTGACTGCTAAACTCCTACAAAGCCTTCTTCTTTTTCTCTCGCAAGCTTTTCTAGCTCAATTTTATTTCATATTGTGCTTGCACAAACTACGAGCCATGTATCTCTCATGTTTGTGTTGTACCAGTTAAATGCATATTTAAAGGCACACATAAGCTCTACGGTACCAGCTTACCTCGATCACAAGTTTTTTTTGGCGTCATTAAAACCAGTCAAAAAGAGTTTTCCTTTTCTGAATCATTACAATAATTTAATACAAAGAGTAATACTATTTTAATCGCCAAGAAGTTAATGAATTAGTACTTGCACATTTTTGATGAAACAAAGTAGAAAAAACACTTGTATACATGCGTACATGTGTACATAGGTCAGCCGAGAAACGTACTTCTGCAGCTAGTCAGCTGTTGTAAACATATGTCTTCGTTTATTATATAAATATTCAGGGTATCGACTCATTCCTCCTTCACCCTAATGGTCCCTCTATATCTCCCACACAAACCCCTTCAACCCCCTCACAATACAGAGATAAATTCTTTTCATTTCTCTATAATTTTAACACAACAAAACTTGTCTAAGCACTCGACGCCCCCGCTACTAACTCTTCTAATGAAAATATGTAAAAGAAGGGCACATGTAGAATAAATTGTCCATCCCACTGCTCTCCCCCACATTTCTCCATAAAACTTAAAATGTGTTGTAAGCATCTTTTTCATGGGGTTATACTGGAAAACTTACCATCACAGCCCCTCCACAACCTTCTAAATTAACTTATGATTTTTTGTGAGATTACTTTATGACAGGACCAACAGTATTCGCCACACCCCTTCACAAAAAGTTAAAATTTTTCTTAGATATCTGTTATTTTTTGTATATCTGAATAACTGACCTCAACTATACAGTATTTTAAATTCGTGCTTCTTTCATTTTATAAGTTTCTGTCTAAATAATAATAAATTTGATTATGAAATTTTTAAACAAAGGTAGTTAATGAGGTTAAAAGTCTCAATGGTACATCGAATTATATTACGTTCAAATTGTTTTATATAGTACATACAGTATTTTTGATTTATTTTACACAACTCTTTGTTAATGATAATTAATAAATATTTATTAAGTCCAAAGTATCGCTAAAATTATAAGAATTTCTATGTTTTAATATTTTATCTTGTAATTCATTGCGATAATATTTTTGATAAACTTACTTTTTAATGAAAAATTGTAAAATAAAAAAAACCAGGTTGGGTATTTAAGCATGTGCGTGCATAAAATACATATACTTATGTTACATATGACGCATGTTACACACATTTCAAGTACTTTCATGTTTGCTTTAATGTATTCATTAATATACGTACTAATTGTTGGTCATGTATTGCAAAACACAACAAAAATTTTCACCATTGTGCACAGAAAAAAAGTACTTTTGCCTAGTTACGCGGGACAAAAATTCTTTTATTCAAAATTTATAATCTGTGCATTTTATATGATATCAAATACGTATAATTAATTCTTGTTAGAGTTATTGTATTCGACGAATTTTTAGAAATTTTGGCTACTATCAAACTAAAGTAATCTACTCTATCTGATTGAGATTAAAAAAAATATTTGCCACACATCTATTTTCGATTGTAAAATTGGAACTTGTCGTTCAATTCGTTTTCTATGATTATTTATAAATTATTATTAAAGTTTATTCATGCTTATAACTCATTTCTACTCATCTTAAAAATAATAATAAAAATATGGGTTTTGGTCGCGTGACAATTATTCTCATAATACATGATAAAGTCTAAAAAGTAAATGAATATAGCTAGAGTAAGAAGGATATAGCTTTGCCTTTGAGATATAATTTATTACTTTTAGAATCGTTACGATTTTTTAAATAAATCCGTGTAACATACATTTTTGCTCCTCAATAATTATTTTCTATAAGTGAAATTTTTTTTGGCCTGTTTGGCTTTCCTTTTGGGATACGACTGTTTTTCTAACTTTGAGAGGTTATATTGTAACAAAAGTTGTTCAAACATTTTGTCAACATTTGTCACATGTTTTAAACATGCCATACTGAATAAGAAAATTTTTTTTAAACTTTTTTTTTTTGAAGATAGAGTCAAAAAAATAAATAATCAAGATTATGTATGTGCATAGTCCAAACTTTTTATATTTTTGCACCTCAATTATGTAGTTTTCCTGAGACCCGTAAGAATTGTTATTTTACGTCAACTTTTCTTCTTTTTAAGATACAGCTTTTTTTTCTTGTTTTCAAAGGTAAGATTATCGTATTATACAAATTTAATACATAATGCACGTTTTTTTATATGCGTGTATACATATTAGAAACGCAACATGTATTTATGTATACAAAATATATACGTTTACTTTGTCTCTGGTCTAGGTACAGCGTATAGCTGATTTTTTTCTTTTCTTTTCTCTTTCCTCCAATATATATACCTCAGCTTAAGCAAGCGCATTGGCTTAGTGTTTAGTCGTAGCGTAAAAACACACATACTAACATTCCTGTAATATATGCTAACATATGTAGGTATACTACCAGCGTCAGAAGCAGGGAGCGAGTGGCGTTCATGCGAGACAGAGAATTGACGGAGTACATGGTAGACAGTAAACTCGCACGTGCAGTGACAGAGAGAGATGGAGTGGGAGGAATAGTGTATGAAAGAGGAGATTAAAAAGAGGGCTTGGGCCACAGGGTGGGTGGCTACGTTTTTTCATAACACATTTTTCCTCACATGACTATTGACGACCCAACATAATAAGTTGTACTTTAAAAATAAAAAAAATTCTTATTTTAGTAATTAATTATAAACTATAAATAATGGGTAGGCACACGGACCGTGTAGAGAGGCGTATAGCAACAAAACTGTTCTGCTGTTGGTTGTCAATAACTGTAGTGAACTAGAGAAGCAAAATTTTTTTCGACTAATCTTAACAACGATAAACATAAAACTGTGACTGAGATAAGCTGGTACTGTTGAGCATATGCTTGCTCTTAATTTAACGTCGTTTATTATTCAGTTTCTTGTACTCTAAGTACGTGTATAGTCATCACTCAAAAGGATAAAAACTCTATAAATACACGTAAATAAGCTCTTTACGTTGAAAACTTCTTCTGTTTCTTTTAATTTTTTTAATAGGCATGCATACATATTATTCTTGATTATGAGAGTATTTTTGAGACTTCGTTGATCATCGATTGAGCTGTATAATTTAACTTTTTGAACGATATTTGTTTATGTAATTTCAATTTTTATTTTTTAATTTTTTTTAGCTTACATATTTCTTTACTAGTGAAACTGTGATCTTATAGCAAGAATTCTCAACAATTCTTTAGATGTATTTTATAGTCATCCGTATTTGTTATGATGAGAATTGTACAAAATCATGTAAGAAATATGTAGGTTAATTAAAAAAAGTAAAGTCATTACTGAGTAGTATGCGCTTACTCGCTATGAATTACACATACAATTATGTTTACATATTATGCATCAATGTGTTTGCTAATAATATTCTTATGTTTTTTTCAGTTGTATACAAGAGTTAGACCTTAACTACTTGAGAAACACAAATACCTTTACAAAAATATACGAAAGACTGTACATGGATCAAGAACAAGAAATATACAAGTGCCGTGGGGAACTAATTGTTGTTTGTCATGATTGTAGTATAATGCTTGAAAAAGTAATTAAAACATCACGCTTGACTCGAAGAATTATAAGAAACAATATTATTTCTCATCTAACACTTGATTTATCACCTGTGTACATCTGACTAGAGAGTAAAGTTTTTTGTAAGAAAGCGTTAAATTTATACTATGATATTTTTAAAATCTGGTTCACTTAAAATAAAGTAGCATTAAATTAAAATTAAAGCTTAACCAGAACATTAAAACTTATACAGTTGTATTTAAAGCGAATAAATTTTCGAAACGATTTAATAGAATGTCAGAATATAACGATATAGTTTTATAAAATGTTTATATGTAATACACTACTTCTGGTAAATTTTCCGTATAAATAATATATAGTTATACTTTTTATACTGTTAGTGTGTACAACGCTTGATTTTTCATAACATTTTTTTGTCCATAACTGCTGGGCCTCTTCAGGTTAAACTACGATACTTAAACGAGTCACAAATATTCGTTCACTTAGTGACGAATGTAATGTGTTAAACCAACCAATTGACTGCAGCTTCTCATACATTCTTAGAATACTGCTTTATTCTAAAAAAAAGTATTCGTAAAATACAACCAGTGCATGAATGATCACATGTAAATTTACAATTTTTATTGTGTGGCAAATGTCACTATTACTGTTTAAGTATGAGGATAATTTTAAATTTCTGTTTTGATATTGTCAAATCTATATGGTTATTGTAATTATCTTTATTTCTTGGGTATTGTAATTATTGTAGTTAGGAATTGTGATTCGGTGTACTACATATGCATTTTTTTGTTTTATGAGTAAATTTTAGGGTTGACGTGCGATTAACTTTTAAATAACAGTTATATCCAAATTCACAGATTGATTAGAATCTGGAAACCTTGTCCTAGTAGATGCAGGATTTTCTTAAATAATTCACATTAAATGACTTATGTGGAAGATTAGCATTTGCAAAATATTTGACAAGTTAACAATAGACATGTTACCTCATTGTGGAAACATAACATTTATATGTTGTGTGTTGGTCAACTTGCAGTCACCAATCATTCATAAAAAAAATTGAAACTGTTATTTATTACTTACATTTAGATAGTGTTGTAAGCATGTACACTGTTTAAATGAAATATGTACATTATTCATTTATAAGATTATTTCTGTGCTTACATTAACATAAAATTTTTATCAAATTCCATTCTTACAGTATTTACAACTGACTACAAGTCAACACTTATGTATTATTCCTAAAACATTGCTAATTAATACAACTGGCTTGTATTATTGTACAGCTGGAAAGTTACTAATCTCTTTAAGTACTATTATAATTAAACTGAATAGTCCATTTGTTTGACAAATTACTTCTCAATATTGTAAATTCTTTGATCTGTTTTTTTTTTATAAGCTGTTTCCATATTTTCTAAAAGCAGGCAATAAGTGTGTAAAATAAGACTTTTTTAACCTACACACTACATTTAAAAGGAATGATCGATTCTTATAAATATTGACAAGGGTACAACGGTTAAGTGATGAGTTGTACAAATCACATTCCATGAGCTCTGCCATATACATTAACACCTGACACTGTGTATAATACGAACGAGATGATTTTATAAATAGTTTATGTTGTGAAAAATATAAGAAAGGAACTTTAATTGTTTTTTCATTATCAATAGCTCGTATGTCTCAACTCGTCTTAGGACATTTTAGTTCTGAAATTTTTGTGGTACAATAGTCTTCTAGAACAAAAGTATCGGAACTAGCACACAACTATAGCTTATTAGGGTTCATAAGAACTAAAGTGGACTTTTTCGTAGTGCAAGTGCAACTTGTATGACACTCTAGTATTGTAGAATTTATCTATCAATAAATAATATGAACAAGGTTGTGTTTAAATAGTCAACTTTTAATTTGTCTGACACAACGCTTGCATTGACAAATAATAATATGTACCTCAAGTTGAATTACATTTGGATGCTCATTTATGCTTCTACTTCTGACAACACTGCTCTGAATCTCATTTGCTATGCCAACTGACTTTACTTCTTTCGCTCTCTATACATTCACATAAGCACGTGTGTTAACACTGTTAACAAACGCGCTTTGCCCAGCCAGCGTTTTACAGAAGCGCTGTCTCTAACGTTGCCAGTCTTTACTCTGACAGTAAATACATGACAATAAGAGAAACAGACGCAATAAACATAGCCTACTCGATCCAGTGGTCCCTGTATTCTTACTTCTTTGCTAGATCTCGTGCAGTTAGTGGATAATTCTTGTGCACTTTTAACATTTTCGATAACTGATTTTGGTAATGTAATCCATCAACAAAAACACTATATGCTCTTTTCAGAGTTATCTTCTTCCTCTTCTTTAGAGTCTTTTTTTAGATTTTCTTTGTCGTCATCGTTGGCCAGGAATTCTTTTTTTCAAGATTTTATTCCTCTTTTTCTGTTACTTCATTAAAAACTTCTTCTTCTTCTATCTTTTCCTGTACTTCTTGTAATTCAGTTTTTTTATTTAAATATCTCTTTTAATAAAGTTTTCAATAATCTCTTTGTTTAAACTTCAAATCCAACCAGTTTTCTTATGTGCACACCTTTTTAAATCATTCTCCTCACCATTTGCAATGTATTGAAAAGTAAAGTGATTCAGATAATACCCAATGTGCTATATAATCAATAGGTGGATACATTTATTATAAGTAGAGGAAATACAGTGAGGGCCAAGTAACCATCTTACGTGTGGGCCTGCCATCAAGAAACTGACTAATCGCTCAAGAATTACGAACAATAGTCATTTGTCTCTTAGTCAACTCATGCACCCCCACTCATCGTTAAGAGATATCACTAAGTAAATATTCTTCTTTTTCAGTAAAAGAAGGAAGCAGGGAAAATTATACAATTGAATAACGTAATTTACCTCATCACATTACGTTATTCACTAGTATTGAAAGAACCTATTATATTTGTGGAAATTTCACGTACGACTGGAAAAGAAAAGGTTTTTCAGAAACAAACATGGACAAAATTATGATATTTTAGTTTTTTTCAATATTTTAAACATGCAACACTATAATTTGGTTTCAAATAACACTATTCAGTGTATTCAGCTTTTGTTAAATAAAAAATGTCTCATCTTCTTCATCCTTCTGACTAATACGGTATAAATAAAAGATCAATTTCGCACTTAGCATTATTTGAATCATTATATATTGCTTCTAAGTCAATCAGTTGTTTTAACTGTTTTATTCAGTTCTATAACCTCTGATCATTATATATTATTGTATTACGTGACAATAAAGTCTTATGTAACATGAGTATGTTAAAGATACAAAAGTATTCTAAAAATTTTATTGAGACTCTATTTTCGTTAATAAGATTTTTTAATTTACAACATGAGAACATTATCATTAAATGATCACAAACGTGGTCATACATTGTTTTCGAATAATGATACATCTCTAACTTTATTCTGAAATATTTAATTTTCATTGCTATTGGTATTTACTACGTTAACTTTGAAAACAAATTAAAGTCTAAAACATTATAATAACATCTAGATAAATAACAGTTATCATACATATACAGCAAATAACTACTCATTTAAGATAATAATCTATCCAAACTTTTTTTTTGTTGCTTTTTACTTATTACAAATAAATACTTAACATCAATTTTTGTGAATTTAAAAAAATTAATAAAAAAAGTTTAAAAAATGTATTTGTCTTTGTACCTAGGAATAAAATTTTTACTTAATAATGTATGTAGTAAATTTCACAGTCAAAGGTAGTTATCTTATTAAATGGTTTTATATGCTTTCTAATAATGACCATTATTTTAACAAACCTTATTACATGCTTATATTTTTTATCAAATTAACTTGTTTATAATATTGGTAAAACCCATAATCTAAGAAATTTCTGAAATTTCAAGGAACTTTTCTGCATTCCTCAAAGTGTAAAAAATCTTAAGACTTCCACAACAAATTAGGGCATTTCTTGTTTTACCCGAAAACTTTTTGGTGAAAGTAGAAATGCCTTTGCGAAATTCAAATGGCCTGACAGAGGTAATAATACCTTTGCGTAATTCAAATGGACTGATAACTTTATACAATTGTTTATATATTATAGAATTAGACCACATTTTTTTTGCAGAATTATGTACTTGCAGATCAAAATTTTTATAAAAGCATCTGAAGAATCATAGACCTGTAGTATTTAAGTGTAATGTTAGTCACTGTACTCCAAAATCTTTAAAAAACTTGGAAACTTTTGTATAATCGTTCAATTGAGTGGTAAGTTCTATATTTCTTAAGCTTCCGCTCCCTTCTAGTTTTTCAAAGAAAATTTTAATTTTAACGACTACTACAACATTACAAGCAACAAAAATTAATGCTTCGTGGATTGTATACTTCGTGCTTCGTAATGTGCATCAACATTTTATTTTCTATTTGCTATATAACTCATTAAAATTATTTCTGACCTATACCACTGCTTTTCATTTGCATTGATGATTGTGTTACATAATTTAAGTAATAAAATTTATCGTGCTAGAAAGGTTTGTTGTTTATAAAAGGGATAAGAAACTTGCATTCTTTAAGTTTTTTTTTGCTTAGCAATATTCTATTCCCAGTTCTATTCCATCATAATGTTCAAATGTCACGGTGTGTATTTTTTAACATTTTACCGTTTTTTTCAAGCTTGTAAGAAGTATTGAGGGGCCAAAGTATTCTAAGAATCATTCCTTTTCTTATATATTTAAAATGCTTTCTTTACGTTAAGGACATAAGGCTTATTAATTTTTTTTCCTTCATAAATCATTGTTCCAGTGGTATCCCAAATAATGTTAACGCCTCTACGAATGCTTAAGAACACTGATCCAAGCAGGCATCTATTTTTTTGTTTATTATGGCAGCGTTTTAATGAATATTATTCAAAAAGCGTATTTTCTGGGTGGTATAGTGGTGGCACACTGCTTCAGACAGCAGTTACACAATACATGTAATACATAACAATTTCTATTG